AAGAGACAATTTTCCAATGACACTGCACCACTGACAAATCTGAGACCTATTTTTGTAGTTATGTTAATGGCATTGTTACTTCTTTTAATAATAGTATGTGGAAAACAATTTAAAGCAAATTAAAGAGAAAACTATAAAGAAAGGGTTAGGCAGAGACAGAGAAACCCTTAGGATGCTATTATGATCCCAAAGCATAAAAGTTTGTGATCTCACTCTGCAAACTTCTTTTTTATATATTCATTATTTAATTTAATCCCTTTGCCATGCAAAACATACTTACAATATATAAACACACACACACATATATATACAATATGCATAAACACACAATTGTTTTATAAATCTTAAGGTCAATTATTATTCTTGTTAATTTGGACTTTAAGACGATATTAAAATTTTGAAGTTAATATAAATTGAATTAAGGCCCTTAAACTTTTTAATTTTAGCTTTTGACTAGAAAGAATTGGCAACTTCTCAAATTTTGTGATTTAATTCTACCCAAAAAAACAAATTTTCAGTTTCTTAACTTAAACTTAGTAGAACACATGACAATTCAAAGCCTTGGTATGCCTAGTAGTAATCTAAATTCTTCACAATATATATGGTCCAAAAAGCTATATTTGTATCGAGAAATAATTAAGAGTATGGAAAAATGGACTTACGGATTAAGAAAATGCTCGAACAGCCAAGCTCTAAGGATATTAACAGAGCGTTCAGGCAAACCACGTTGCGGTCTCCACGCCTCTTGTTCCATCATACCCATATGATGAAACGCACGTTGCTGACGCAAACTCTGCTCTAACAATCGCAATCGCGGTGTTTCGCCTTTGGTTAACCCAGAGGACGTAGCCCCCGCGGCTTCTTTATCCCCTAGAAGTTCACAGCTGCGTTTCAGCTGAACCGCAACCGCGTCTTTTAAACACCGGAAATGCCTAGACATTGCCTTTTGGGCCAATGTTGTGTACGGAACCGCTGCGCCGTAGCCCATTACTTGGTCGAATGAGTTTACTACCATCTGCATTTGTTCGCAGTAGTGGTTGTAACGTCGGTCCACCTAAAAATTGAATTACAAAAAATGAAATACAGTCGGTTAGTTTTTGTTTTGTTATCATTTGTTCGTTTGTTGAGATAAAATACTAAAATGTCAAGAGATTATTACGTTTGTTAAGATAAGATAATAATTTGAGCAAGTCTCCTCAAAATATAGACAAATCAGGGAATAGGGAATACACATACATACTCCAATGTGTTTCGTTTTCCTATTAGCAGTATATGGTATCTAATTAGAATATAAATTAAATATAAAATCCTGAAATAAGATAATGTCTACTACAAGATAAAATTAAAATTTTGATTAAAAATGAAGTAACTTCAAGGACTAGCTTTTGGTTACGTAGTGAAGAAGGTAGCTTATATGGAGAAGGAAACTCTCATTTAAAATTTCTGGTTGAAGACTATAAATCACTTAATTAATCATAATTTAATTTCTTATGTTAATTTGATTAAGCGATGCCACCAAACGCGTCACACAAAATAAGCATTAATATTTTATCACATTAGACTATAACACCAGTATAATGATATTAGTTAGAAAAAATCATATAAGTGATGGTAGGATTGCGTAATCAGGCTCTACCAACTAGAGCATGTGTCGTGCTCTTGTACCAGTCGGTCTTTCTTTACATTCTTTTTAAGTAACATATATAGAGTTTACGAAATATTGGTTAAATTTATAATAATAATAATACCAGAAAGAAAAAATCACGAAGAAAAATCAAAATTTCTAGCGATGGTGTTTTGATCAATTCAATCATTAGAACGGTTCATTTTATTTTATCAAAAATTTAATGAAAAGTATTTTTAATGAAATTGGTTAGTTGGTTAGAGAAAAATAAATTGTGAAAACGTTTACCTCTTCAAGCATAGAGAGTAGCTTGACCTTTCTTCTTTGATGTTCAATCCGATCAGCCGGAGACAAAGGAGGATTATTATCATTGGCTGGTCCGGCCGACGAAGACGATCCTCCGCCGCCGCAACTGCTAGTGTTAAGGTTTGAATTGTTCCTACCACTACCACTAAGTTTGTTCTTCTTGAAATGTCCTCTTCCAACACTACAAAACTCTTCCAACAATTCTTGAGCCGGTTTCGTGTACTTGGAGTTCCTCAACGTATAGATCCCTCCAATGGAAGAAGAAGCCACCATGGGAGATGAAGATGATGACCCATAATGTCCCACAACT